TAGGTACTCGTACCCGTCCTGCGTCGCTTCATTTCTTTTTTCCCCTTTCCTATACTACCTATATCTTCCTTCTTACTCATGTAACGTTTTCAGTTTTACAAATTTCACTCTCCATTTTTGCGATACCGCCGCCTAAGAAGTTTCACTTCAAAAAATTGCCAGTATTTCGTGTGTGTGCCCAAGGAATTTTGACAACTTATACTTCACTAGCCTGTTGCCTCGCATACACGGGCATATATTTCTGTTGCAAGCATGGATTGCCTTGTACTCTTTTTTCACAAAAAAGTTAAAAAACCGTAGTAGTAGTTCTTAAGAACTGCGTACTGTCTGCAGGAAATTTGACTCAAGATAATTTCTTAGCGATTTCTTGTACTTGCAAACCTCCGAGTGTACTTCTGCCATGAAATCGCTTCTCATAAAAACCATTTGCCGTTCGGAGGTGACCTAGAACTTTAGGTCCCTTCATTTGCGTGACACGATCAACACACACATTATGGATAACATGATGCCAAACTCGTTTTTAGCATGCATTCAAAAAACTAGCGAAAGGGCAGATAACTATTATAGGAGTATGTGTTGAAAGCCTGAAAGAATGTGTAATAGTTTTCAAATTTAGCAACTGTTAGGCCCGATTTCAGATGGCCTACTTAAGTAGAGATTGTTGATTAATTTACATTTTTCATTTTCTGATCATACATTTAGTCTGTACTTAAATGGCCAATTTTGCTATTTAAATATGAGATATGCAACCCTGTGTTTATACCAAACAACCAAGATTGATTGGTAGGTTATTTAATCAATCCCACCAAATCCCACCTAAAACAATCAGCTGTTTAGCAGAAAATGTAAACAAACAAGCAAATGCAACAACAATTTCAAGGAATAAGCAGCAGTGCTGCCAATTGTTTGACATATTTAAACAAAGTTGATCTGAAACCCAACGAAAGCTAAATGGCATTTAAACAACAATCGACAATCAAACTTAAGTGCCGTTTAAATATTCATTTGAAATTGGCCCTTAGACTATAACATCCTTACTTTACTCAGCCTTAGAGAGCCCTTACTTACTCAGTTCCTTACTTTTTATTTCTATAACCAATTTAAGTAGGATGTAACAAACAGTAACTCCAAGCATTTTCGTTTTAATAAGACCCGTTAAATAAGTTGCTTAATTTTAACGGTATTTGTTAAACTTTTTGAAAGATTTTGTTAAACTTTATTTTTGGGCGCGGCAACACTGGTCGTGCCCGCAAACGTTCAAATAAACCCGTCAATCACCACTTTGTATTGTGAATACGCAGCGTTCGGTTGTTAGCATGTTGTCATCGGATGAGTATTTATTGTTAATTATTATATCATTTATGGCATAATTTTATATGCTATATGTTAGAAATTAATATTTAGTACTCCTCATAAAGCTGGTAAGCATTGGTAATGCTCAATGAAACGTAAAACAATTTATTTTTCTTGTCCGCGCACTAGTTCACCACGGCGAGCAGAAGCCAAGTGAGCTTGTTTTTTGTCAAGCATAATGCGAGACGGTCAAATAAAAAATTTACATAATTCATATAATTTGCTCGGTGTACCAACTTTATTCAACAGTAAAGCGACAACAACCTGATTCATCTAATGTTTGCATGCAACTCACAGACAGCGTTGCCATTTTAGCCGTTTTCCGGCTAGATTTAGCCGGTTTTG